TTATTGCCAGCTGATCATTAAATTTAACCAATTTCATAGTAGATGTGACGACCAAATTGGTGTCATCCCTGAGGCCTTTCAATGAGTGGACTTGCTTTTACCTCGGCTCAGATACTTAGTCATATTTCAAAAAGGGGTCTTGTATATTCAATGGTCTTGCGTTTCAAGAAGATATGGCAACAAAGGGTTAGATCACTGTGCGATATCTGCCCTCCGTAGTTGCTAGGACAGCATGAGTACCAGTAAATTCGTATAACTTTAAGGGTTAACTCTTTCGCTAAATGATTGGTCAACATGAAAAGATTGACGAGCTGGATATACAAAAGAACGTGCTTCTCATACGTTTTACTCATAGTTTAGGCGAAATACATGAAGATTGCGAGATCACCAAACTCACCGCAGTCCAGGGCCGTGATCCTGTCCTCCGAGTGGAGGGGAGGGGCAAACGGGACAAGACACCCCTCAACTGGCCAGATGAGCTGTTCATTACATTCTCCGTCTGTCTTGATCGGCCAAGTGAGCGCGAGACGATGCCATTCTGGATTGTTCACCTACAGCCACGTGGCAGTTTGGGCAGCAAGAAAAGAGAAAAGAGGTATTCTTCATAAAAAAAAGCAAAATCCTCTGTTTGCCTAATCAAAGCGAGAGGCTCCGGTAGAACGAAAGTAAAGTTGTGAAAGTAGAGGCTAACCCTTCTGGACTGAGAAAGAGTCTGGCATTTAATTAGACCTACAGAATGAGACAGGAAGGGTGGTTCGGAGATGAGGGCACACGGAAAAACATCGAATCATCTTAACTCCATGATTAATGAATTTCCAGCATTGGTTAGTTCAGTGATTCGCAGACTCATCCATCACATTAATTATTAAATATCAATTTAATGTTAATACGGCATTAAAAAATAATGAAGATACACGAGTTTTGTTTATTTTTATCTTTTTCTTACGAAAAATCATACTTAGGGTAGGGCGCCATGGCAAAATGTTAATTGAAAAAGGGCGCCGCGACTAGTAAGAGTTTGAGAATCACTGGTTTAAGTAATTAATTTTAAACGAGTAGAATTGCGAGCCTTTTAGCTGTTTCCACTCGCACATCTCCGCCAGCTGGATACACTCTTATGGTATACCTTGTATGAAGGGCCAAATCATTTCACACGAGGGCCTAATGTGGGAGCGATAAATTATACACACTTAAATCGAATATATGAAGACCAAGATGGTGTGGCCTTTTGTGTGGTTGCAGTCTGCTTTCGTTGTATAGAAGTTGTTTGACCTTGTTTTCGCAACTTGGTCATATTGGTAGGAAGAC